AACTTTCTTCGCCGACGCGAGGGCGCCGTCCTCGTCGCCGGCGCGATCAGCATCGGCGCCCGCGCCCACCGCGCCGTCGTCGTCGCCGACATCGTCAGCGACGTCGCTTCTATCATCGTCGTGTCCACCGCAGTCGACGTCGCCATGATACCGCGCTCGCTTAAGTCGCCGACTCGCATTGAAGTGCCCGCTGGGATGTGCCCAGCGGTCAGCGCCACCGCGGCCGCGTCGGCCGCGCCAAACTAGCTGGCCGCTGCGCGCGCATGGGTTGGCGCTGCCGCAGAGATGCACCAGCCAACGCCAAGCGCGCTCGTCGCAATCGCCACCGGCGTCGTCTGTGGCGCGGTCAGCATCGTCACACGCGTCGCTATCATCATCATCGCGTCTACCATCGTCGACGTCGCCATGCTACCGCACCCGCGCGCTTGGGTTGGCGCGGCCGCAGAGATGCACCAGCCAACGCCGAGCACCCATCGCAATTGCCACCGTTTGGGTTTTGCAAGCCAAGTTGCTGGTGGGTGGGCGGGATGTTTGCAAGAGCATGGAATGCGTCAGCTCGTCTGGTAAAGTCAAGCACACCACGTAGATTGCACCACGTAGGTTGCACAACATAGATTGCACTGCATGCGTAGCACTACTCACATTCTCCCATGTTAAGAGAATAGATTCTACCACCCTCCCGAGGGCGGGCTCGCCAAGTCAGAGCTTCGCATTGCAATTCGCAGTTGTTGCTGTCCCATCTCCACGCCCCAGGGGGGCCAGCATCCGCCCCTCGAGCCACCCTCAGCAAAACATATAATGCGCGCGCATGTGCATATCACAAATCATCAGTTCCCAACAATCTCTTGCAACAGATGGGGCGAAGTGCGCACGCGAACACCGTCGGTTTCGCAAGGATGTCAGAATCGAGCGGCTGAAACACTTTGAGAATAACATCGAGTTTTGCAACGTGGACTTGCAAGGAACGCTGGCGCGCGCGCGCTCTTTTTTTGTAAAAAATAATAAAAACGCCGTACTTTGTAAATTTCGTTAACATTTGATCACGCCGCCAAGCGGGCCTTGCGCGCGCGCGTTGAAATCGTTCGAACGCCCTTGCGCGCGGGCCATCGCGAGAATCCTCTTGCAAAACAGGAGACGGGGCGCGCGCGCTCACATCCTTGCGCGCGCGTGCCGAAATCCGTCAAAGACCTTCGTTTTCGTAACGATTGCAGAACCGAGTGTCCAAAACAACTTATAAAGCTCATGGCTTTGCAACGCCAGTGTTCAAAGAAGCTTGCGCTCGCGCCCTTGCGAACTTTTCAGAACATGTGAACTCTGCCAACCGGGCCCCTCGCGCCGCGCTGTGGGGGGCGCGATCCGCGTCAAATGCTACCGTGCGGGCCATTCGTGCGTCGGCCGCGCGCGCATGTCGAACTCTTTCCGAAGTCTTCTTCGCCGACGCGAGGGCGCCGTCGCCGTCGTCGGCGCGATCGGCATCTGCGCCGCCGCTGGTCGCGCCGTCGTCGTTGCCGTTATTGGGCCAGTGCCGTTACTATCATCATCGACGTTGCCGCGATACCGCGCCCGCCCAAGTCGCCGACTCGCACTGATGTGCCCGCTGGGACGCGCTCAGCCGCCGCGCCGCCGCCGCCCGCGCCAGCTGCGCCAAACTAGCTGGCCGCTGCGCGCGCGCGTTCGGGTTGGCGCCGCCGCAGAGATGCACCCGCCAACGCCACGCACTCATCGAAAACGCCGCCGCAATTGCACCCTGTAGATTGCACCTTCCAAGGCGATCGTTAAAACCGAGCCGCTGCCCCCCCCCCCCCCCCCCCCCCCCCCAGGACTTAACGGTGAATTCGCTCCATCCGATGCAGCGCCTTATCGGTTCTTCCATCCACTCGCTGCAACAAACACAGCGCGCGCGCATTCGTTTGCCCGGAATCATCAGGTTCCAAGAATATCTTACAAACGGCAGAGGTTCGAGGTGCACGCGTGCGCGCCGTCGCGCGAGCGCGCCCGAATTTTTAGACCAAAACCGTGGGGCCGCACGAGTTGTTTAAACCGAGCGCCCCGAAAGTACATGCGCAACCCTTGGCTACGTACCAGAAGTGTTAGAGGAAGCTGGCGTTGGTGCTCTTGCGAACTCTCAGGATAGCCCTGGCTTTTCGCCGCGTTCACACACTCTACCAAACGCGCCCCTCGCGCGCGCACGTGGGCATCATCCGAGCGCATTCGCGCGCGTGCTGTCGCGAACCCCCCCTGAACAGATGGGGCGAAGTGCGAGCGCGCGTCGTCGCGCGCGCGCCACAATCCTTCCAAAACCTTAGGCGGGTTTCGCTTGGAGTTCTAAATCGAAATGCGTCGAAAACGCATAAGACCACATGATTTTGCAACGCCTGTTTCCCATTAAAAAGTCTGCGCGCGCGATCTCGCGCATTCACATGGAGCATGGGAACCATTTCGTTGTGGAGCACTTGCCACCACATGTGAGCAGACGGGCCTCTCGCGCGCGCATGTCGGAATCGTTCGAACGCCCTTGCGCGCCGCGCTGGGGGAGGGTGCGATCTTTGTTGCACAAACCACGCGGGCTTTTTTCACGCGTCTGCCGCGTGCGCGTGTCGAACTCCGTCCAACACCTCCATCGCCGACGCGCGGGCGCCGCCATCGTCGTCGGCGTGTGTCAGCACCGGCGCCATCATTGGACTTGCAGGCGTCATCGTCATGTTTGCCACCGTCATCGCTGCGCTCATCCATGACCGTGCCCGCCCAGGTCATCGACTCGCGTTGGGGTGCCTGTCGGCATGTGCCCAGCGGTCGCCGTCATTGCGGCCGCGTCGGTCGCGCTACATTAGCTGGCCAGTGCGCGCGAGAGCATGCGCGGGATACTCATCGCCATCGCCGCCGCATGGCCTTTGCAAACCAACTTGCGAGTGGGCGGGTGGGCGGATTGCGCGTGTAGCCGAACTCGCAGTTCCAAGCTTTTCGCAGTAGAGCACCCCATCTGTCACGCGCGCGGTCAGCAGAGCACCCCATCAACTATTGAGTGCCATCGCGTGCGCGACGGACCCGCTTGAGCACCAGACTCGAGCGGTATCTGCTTCGCCTCCTTCACCCCATCCTTGCCGTTGCCTGTGCCTTCCGATGCTTTTCGCAGCCTGGCCAGGTAACGCGCCCACTGCTCAATGTTGTTAACCTTCGTGTCGCTGTTCATTAGAACGTCCGTTTATCCGTAAGGGTTTCGCCCCCTGCCGCCGGCCCCCTCTACCGGAGAATGGGCCATGGAAGAGCTAAGTCATGAGGCTTTGGCGCTGTCGTGCAGCAGTATCGGATCTTCATGCGAGGCCGATTCGCAATCGGCAAAACCAACTGATCACAAGAGGGGTTACCACACAGGGCGATTGGTAATACGTGTATGGTTTACGCGCTTGGTTACCACACCTTGGGATTAAAGGGCCGAGGGAGTACTCGCAGTTTGGCTTACCACGCCTTGCGATGGATGTGCGTGAGGGGTGGCACCGAATTTCAGAAATGTAGCAAATCCCCTGTGTTTTTGGACCCTGACCCCGCGGATCTGCGTGAGGGGTGGCACCGAATTTCAGAAATGTGGCAAATCCAATGTGTTTTTGGACCCTGACCCCGCGGATCTGCGTGAGGGGTGGCACCGAATTTCAGAAATGTGGCAAATCCCATGTGTTTTTGGACCCTGACCCCGCGGATCTGCGTGAGGGGTGGCACCGAATTTTGAGAAATGTGGCAACTCCCACGTGTTTGTGGACCCTGACCCCGCGGATCTGCGTGAGGGGTGGCACCGAATTTCAGAAATGTGGCAAATCCAATGTGTTTTTGGACCCTGACCCCGCGGATCTGCGTGAGGGGTGGCACCGAATTTCAGAAATGTGGCAAATCCCATGTGTTTTTGGACCCTGACCCCGCGGATCTGCGTGAGGGGTGTCGATTTCGAGCCTCCCCCAGCAATTCAGACAACGCGCCCAGGAGGTGCTAAAAATCCCGTTTGGGCCTCCCCCCCCTTCGCGCGGTCAATCAATTAGTTACAGTAACCAGCAAGAAGTCAACTAGTTACAGTAACCAGCAAGAAGCAGAACTGTAACACTGGAAACTACAAACTACAACTGGTACAGGAAACTGCGAATCACGCGCCTCGCAGCCTGGTGGCCCCACAAGGGGGCCAGCGGATTGCATCCTTTTCGTCTTGCGTCCATTTCTTGTGGACCGTGCCTACCCACAGCGTGCGTGGCTATACCACCCAGATTTCGGAATCGTTGCGAGCGAGGTGGGGTCGTGGTCGCGCAAAACTAAAATTTCGGCGCACGTGTGGCAGCAAACGATCATACCAAAAAACTGCGGCGACGACGACGCCAGCGTCCACGACGACGTCGTCGTCGTCGTCAGAGGTGTCCTGGCGTTCCGGCCGCGCCATCTGGATGCGTTTCGAATTTGTGCGTGGGATGGATCCCCGAACGGGTCCAGGGAACGGTTCTGATCAAAGCTTGGTCGGACGATGACGACGGCGTCGACGAGGAGGACTAGGAGGAGGATTGTCGTTGCCTCTCAGCCCATTCTGCGTCTCCCAGGAAACGCTTCGTCGCCACGGTCACATTCGCCCCGAAATCCCCGCACGAATGGGTGTCCTGGCAGGATTGGGGGGGCGATTTCGGAGGGAGGGCGCTTGCGGAGGTGACGGCCACGGTCACGGCCACGGATACGGCAACGACGACGACGACGACGACGACGACGACGACGACGACGACGACGACGACGACGGCGACGGCGGCGGCGGCGGCGGCGGCGATGTCGACGGCGACGGCGACAGCGACGGCGACGGTGACGGTCACGGTGACGGCGACGGCGGGTGACGGCGACGGCGGG